GTCACGGCTGACTCAACGTACCATGACATGTGTACCTAAGTATAGAGGATCGTCGACATCCTTCAATCGTCTTAAAATACTTACTATACATCACAGACATCAGAATACATGTTTGTTTATCCTCAAATCTTTACCTTTTACACAGGTTTATAATTTGTGTATTATCTTTCATGCAACTACAAGGGCAACCACTGTATACGACACACACACGTGATACCTGGTTGAAGGCCCACATTTCGATGAATCTTTAATTAATAAAAATAGAGCTATTTTATTTTATGCCTAATTCCTTGCGATCGCAGCTCCAAGTTTTGATAAAATATCGTTTGATCTTGTGAGACACTATAACTGATATAATCTAGGTTTATTGTTGGTATATGCCACTTTGAGTTTTCAGTAAAAAGTTCCAGTTAAATATCGAGATCCGTGGTGTTATAGCACCCATGTGCTTAGCACGCCTTGATCACATCACCACCTCGTGTATACGTCCGTCACGGCTGACTCAACGTACCATGACATGTGTACCTAAGTATAGAGGATCGTCGACATCCTTCAATCGTCTTAAAATACTTACTATACATCACAGACATCAGAATACATGTATGTTTATCCTCAAATCTTTACCTTTTACACAGGTTTATAATTTGTGTATTATCTTAAAATATCTTAGTTTATGACTTCTTCGTGTACATATTTGAATAATTGACAAAAGTTACTTTCCGATAACTTTTTCCAGACTGAATATATTTGGATATACATGTATATTTATCTGGGTAATCTGACAACTCAAATTCTTGTTATAGTAAAGCGCAACAGAAAAAATACAGCTTTGGGCGATGCTATCTGAACGCTTTAATTAAACACGACAAGATAAGTAAAAACACCACAAACAACAATTTTTCTTATTTACGTTACCGACAATAAACGTGCCAAGTGTAGGATGTAAACACCAGTTGGATGACATTTCCCCTGGAAATCACATTTAGTATAAAAATCGTTCAGATTTTACATTTTTATGATTAGTAACCGTGTTGCATCCCAAAAAGCGTATCAAAAACACCATGACATAACAAAACTCACCACAGCTATTAGATATGGCCCCCTATCGGTTAGAAAAATATTTGCATCACTGTTATCCTGACAATAGATCGATAGGAAAACAACGACACCTGCCATCGGACTGTTGTTACAACAGTCAAAGCTATAGTATACATGCTGTTCAACATAATGGAATCAAGTAAACTGGATAAGTACAGTATGGACATCGTCTGGTCGAACAGCATCTATAACATGAAGCGCGAGTTAGTCTGTTTCTACAGATAATCTACCCGATGGACAACTCTACAGCCTATCTACAACAAATAGGCNTCCTCAAATCTTTACCTTTTACACAGGTTTATAATTTGTGTATTATTTAAAAATATCTTACTTTATGACTTCTTCGTGTACATATTTGAATGTTTGACAAAAGTTACTTTCCGATAACTTTTTCCAGACTGAATATATTTGGATATACATGTAAATTTATCTGGGTAACCTGACAACTCAAATTCTTGTTATAGTAAAGCGCAACAGAAAAAATACACATTTGGGCGATGCTATCTGAACGCTTTTAATTAAACAAGACAAGATAAGTAAAAACACCACAAACAACATTTTTTCTTATTTACGTTACCGACATGTACAATAAACGTGCTAAGTGTAGGATGTAAACACCAGTTGGATGACATTTCCGCTGGAAATCACATTAAGTGTAAAAATCGTTCAGATTTTACATTTCTATTATTAGTAACCGTGTTGCATCCCAAAAAGCATATCAAAAACACCATGACATTACAAAACTCACCACAGCTATTAGATATGGCCCCCTATCGGTTAGAAAAATATTTGCATCACTGTTATCCTGACAATAGATCGACAGGAAAACAACGACACCTGCCATCGGACAGTTGTTACACCAGTCAAAGCTATAGTACACATGCTGTTCAACATAATGGAATCAAGTAAACTGTATAAGTACAGTATGGACATCGTCTGGTCGAACAGCATCTATAACATGAAGCGCGAGTTAGTCTGTTTCTACAGATAATCTACTCGATGGACAACTCTACAGCCTATCTATAACAAATAGGTAAAGATCAAACCTGTGTTTGACTATATAAAATCTAACGTTATTAATGGTTGTTAATCCTGGCTAGACAGTAACATTAAGGCCAGTGGGATCACACCAGTACATTGATTTTCTAATTTGAGAAACAATGGAAACCGCCAAGGAAGAAACGTATCCATCTACATTAGAAACTGTTTCTCAGTAACAGAGATTCATGAACCTTCCTCCAACTGCTAGCATATGTGGGGAGAAGTACAGCTGAAACCACAGATCCCTAGTCTCAGACCACTAGCCACAGACCCTTAGCCTCAGACCACTAGCCTCATACCACTAGCCACAGACCCTTAGCCTCAGACCACTAGCCACTGACCACTACCCACAGACCTCTAACCACAGACCCTTAGCCTCAGACCACTAGCCACAGACCACTACCCACAGACCCCTAACCACAGACCCTTAGCCTCAGACGAGCAATATAGGCGACAACATAGTCATTTAAATGCAAATCGCCCTATACATTTTTACTTCTGACAGAAGCGATAAAGCCATTAGTCTACACTACTCATAATAGACCCCCTACATCACAAGTAATTCATGTAAGATATGTACACACTATCCCCGGAATCATGCCATAATATGTTAACCATCGACGAGGACCAATGTTTACCGCCAGATACCACAACAATTGGCAACAACAAATCCACTAGTAAGTGAATCGATCATAAAGTTAAATGACCCTTTCGAGAAAAATTGGTCGAGGCTAAATAATGTTAAACATGAATGCTCGAACCGTCAAAATGACCCCCACTTATCATCAGGTAAAGAAGATCACAATGCCACTTTCAGGAGAAAATCTACCTTTACTAAAAGACGAGAAACAACACGAGAGAAGTTGACAGGCATATTACAGGGTCGATAAAGATATGCGGTACACAGGTTCTTCTTTGGGGACTTTACTTAGGAATGGATCAAAATAACAACAAATCCTTTTGAGGGAACTTTCAAGCTAGGGAGCAGGATAGCCTAGTATTGGATCGCCCCATTAAAGACAGGACCAAAGTCCTTATTGACAGTACCGACAAGGCAGACACTCTTAACAAACAGTTCCAGCTAGGGGAATACAGCAATCAGGCAGACTAAGTTTCCCACAGAAAGGAACCTCATAGAGAAGAAAAATGTTGAGAGGATGATCCAGGACACCAACATCAACAAAGCCAGTTATCCCATCAGATTACCTAACCGTGTACTACAACAATGCTCAATAGGACTAGTCCCGGTATTAACCAACATCTTCCGACAAACCGGTTGGAATGATGAAATTCCACTAGAATGAAGGAGTGTCAACATAACACTATTTTATTTCAAAACAGTTTTGTACATTCCTCTAATCCTAGAATTATATAACAACTCAAAGATAAGGTGGTTCCACATTGCCCTTATATTGGATTTCCTTAAGCCTAAAGGGGTTGGCATTACTTGCTGCGACGCACTAAAAGAAAGTAGTACATCCTCTTTCGCTACCTAGGTTTATTTCTGTGTTATAGGTCGGGTATAATACCAATGGGTTGTCAGGAGCTTTATTAAGTTGTACTTTGTGTGGATTTCCATATTTTGTAATTAAATTGAGTCTGACTACTAGGACTTCTATCTGTATGAGTTCCCTTCAATCGTGGTATTATGGAAAGTTCAGAGCTTCTTTCATACAGGAAAAATACCAATAACGCTTTCCATACTTTTCATTGTTTAAGCAGGACGCCAGGAGCCTCCATGACATTTCGACTTACAGACACTGGTAGATATTTTGACAAATAGGTCGTGAAGCCCAAAATAAGACATAATACACTGGCTATGGGGCCTTCTACACGCCTGTCAGACAGTACATTTAATTTGTAACAAGAGGCTGTGGAACTTAGGAACTTTCTACGGTTCTTCTCAATCATGACATGTTCCTATATTTTGCAAAGCCAATCACATGTACAAACATGCCAGAATTATTTCATCATTCAATGGAGTTTACAAATAATGAAATAGAACGCCGGACTTCAACCTGAGATGTTTAAATATGGGTTTTAAATGGTTTTTGAACGTATATTATCCCAACTTTCTTTAAATAAAGTTTGGACGAATATCGGGAAAATTGTGAGCTCATTATGTACATTCCACGTAAATGCTAGAATTAAGTTTTAAAAGTTTTTGAAAAACAATCTGTGTTATATAAGACTTTAACGTTTTGTAGCAAGATACTATATCATACATTGTATAATCGGAAAATCACTACAGAGTCGGTGACATTAAAATAGAATTATCATTAATTGATTGTGTTAGGTGACCACAGTGGACCCATTACAGAAGTAGGAGGTTAAACGATGATATGCTGCAACGAACACTTCTCTATCGTTTCGTTCTAAGAAGAAAAAAACGAAAAAAACGACGACTATCATATCTGTGACGTCAATTCAAAATGATCGTTGCTCTGCTGTGTTATCCATGGTCTGGAAACCGCCATTATACCGCATTTGTTGTGGTGGCTAACCTAGATAAACAGAAAACTTGAATTTAGATACATGTGACTACATTCTTCGCACTTAAACATATTGACGTTTGAAGCTATCTACCAAAAAGAAGTAATTGTCAAATATAAATAGTATTTTAAGATTTGATTCCAAATTTGAAAATATGGTTAGATCGGTTTCATGCCAACCTATGCAAACTGGTGATGAACCAATCATTGTATTATTATGAATATGTACGGTATTATCGACATCCATGAAACCTGTTTTACCATCAATATCTGACCATATAACTTGAGGTGCATTGGTCGGTTGCCACACTAAAAATTATATTGTTTAGTGCATGTTAATAACTGAAGTTATATTTGGTATATTGACAGGACCTTACTATTGTGGAGTGGGAGCAAACAAAGTCTATGGCAGAGATATCGTAGAGGCCCATTACCGCGCATGTCTGTATGCCGGTATCAAAATCGCCGGATGTAATGCTGAGGTCATGCCTGCGCAGGTCAGTATCTAACCTCTACTTCATATAGGCTGATTTTCCGCCTTCTTGTAATTCTCAATAAGTTCAGTCATACGGCTTTATGTTAAACTAGAGATAGCCATATATTATATATATGTAGACCGAAACAGATTTATGTCGCGTTGAAATTTGGTCAAATGGTGATAAGGATACTTTTTGTCAGACAGAGTGAAATGACGTCGAGTGGGCGTTTCCCACCTACGTCCAGTCAGATCCGCCTGTTTTAATTGTGTAGTTAGATCAGTTTTATTTACATTTGTAATCCTGTTCGACTGCCTTACATTTTACCCATATGAATTTAAAGATGTATACTTTATGGTACTTTACTGCTTTAACCACATGAATGTAAAGAGAAATACCTTTTAGTACTTTACTGCTTTGATACAAAAACATAACTGTACTATCAAAAATCCTTTTCTCGAGCTGAAAGAATTACATAGTTATGTCTTTTCATGTTGACCAAATATTAAATGATACCGCAGACAGACAATTATGTGTTACGTATGATCAAAGTAAACTCATTATGTTCTGCTGGTAATTGAAGAAAAAATGAACACACTAAAATTGTTTTATGTACAAAATGCACTCTGCTGAAATACGACACTTGTGAATACCTGTCGTTTCCTTCCTTGTCTATATTTACAGCCTTATGATGACTTGTTCTTTGTAAACATGCCGTAATACGATGGCACGCCTCGTTAGCAAATATGTAAACAGGCCGTTTAAACTATGTGGCTGTCAGATTTAGGTAACTAAACGAACATTGTATCGAATACAAGAGGCATTAAAATCATTAAAGCAAATTACGAATACGTTTATTTGTCATTTTTGGGGTATTCATTATTTTTCAAAACATATAGGTTGAAGTTGGGCACATTGCCCTTATTTATTATCAGCAACATGACGTAACTAACGCTGAATATTCTTTGGCTGGATAAACGAAATACCCAACTAAAACAATGGTGATTTCTTCCTTTTTCTTCTCAATTATGCAGAGGTCTTAACCACGCTATTTGCTGTTGGTGTCCCTGGAAAACATGATAAATAGGCGCGTTAAGTTTTCATAACAGGGTGTAGTTAGAACTTTACTGTATATCGCTGGTTTACTCTGTTGTTCAGATCCAGTACGAGTAATTATACAATAAACCATTGGTTTGTTATATTTTTCAGTGGGAGTACCAGGTAGGGCCGTGCGAAGGGATAGAGATGGGAGACCATCTATGGATCGCACGTTACATTATGGACCGCGTAGCTGAAGACTTTGGTGTCATCGTAACTCTTGACCCTAAACCTATTTCTGGAAACTGGAACGGGTCCGGTGCCCATTGTAACTACAGCACGCTGGCTATGAGAGAGAACGATGGACTCCGGTAACTAGTCTACAATCATCTATTGTAACGAAAAGATAGCAGATATGTTTTTCAGTAGTGTTAATAGTTATCAGACCGTGTACTATTTATGACAAAATATAATACATAAATTTAGATTTTAGGAATCCATTAACTGTTGTACCCGTAACGTTTGATTAACCATCTGTCTCCTTCATCAGACAATGGGTTAATGGTGCTGGTACACGTTAATAGTGCTGGTACACGTTAATGGTGCTTGTACACGTTAATGGTGTTGATACACGTTAATGGTGCTGGTACACGTTAATGGTGCTGGTAAACGTTAATAGTGCTGGTACGCGTTAATGGTGCTGGGACACGTTAATAGTGCTGATACACGTAAATAGTGCTGATAAACGTTAAGGGTGCTGGTACACGTTAATAATGCTGGTACACGTTAATGGTGCTGGTACACGTTAATGGTGCTGATACATTCTCTTGAGTTGACTTAATGTATCGCTGTTATAATTATTGATGGCCATAACACACTTAAGAGGACAAACTGTCTTATTTTGGAGACGGCTTTATCTGATATGATCGCCTCGGTCATTTTGTTCCAAAAATCAAGAATATGTCACATGAGGTGTCCTAGTTTCCCATAATACTAATGAAACAGCACCGAGAATCGCCAAATGTTATTTGAAGTAGTGCAAAATATAGTATTGCTGGGAAAAAAACTTACCTTCGAATTTCTAACATCCATGAACTGTTGCAATTTTTCTTCTTCCAATTATAATAAATCCTTCCTCAATCAAAGTGATACTTTCTCAGACGCATATCCGGAGTCTGTGCAATAAACTTTTATTTATTTGTTTGTATGTTTTTATCTCGTTATTATAAGGCCTGCTTGGATCGCATATTGCATAAATATCCTGATTTGCGATCTCCCAACACATCTTTCCTATAAATGGAACTTGTAAATCCAACCTAGTTGCCATGCTTCAAGAAATACGGCCCGAATAGCTCTTAGTTACAAACCGCACCGCTTTTCTTTGGGCGATCTCAATTTTCAATGTTAGATGTTATAAACAGGGGTCCCAGACCATTGAAGCCCACTCGACTGGTGCTCTATCTACTGTCAGTTATGCTGCTACCTTAACTTTCCACTTAGATAACCCTGCAGGTTGGGGATAAGAATGAAATCTGTTGTTACCCACTACAGATATTGTAAGAAGCAACTAATTTGGGATCTCCCTGCAGAATTGGAGATTTGCCATTGCGCCCTTTATTTGGGAACGCAAAAACGACCAAAATATATCTGTTGACCAACTGCAACATGTTGAGATCTTGATATTTTCTCTCTACATCCTAACAACAGGTTTGTTTCCCAGTGCCTTACTGTGCTATACCTTACTTTTAGACTTAATGTTGAGTGTTCACTCAATTGGGGAAGTCAATGGATTCTGTCCTCGAGACATACAGTTAAATCCTTAATATGTTAGTTGTTATTACCTGCTAAGTATTCAGCATTTAGGGTATTCGTGCCAACTGGTTTACCTGTTGTCAGTACAATCTGCCCGGGTGAAATACAATGCTGGGTGCCTTCGTCATGGCATTTCAATGAGGTAGCACTCTTAAGTCGGTATCAGATCCGCGCTATCGAAAGGAGGTAAACACACCAACACATCGATTCCAGCACACACGCCTCAATGCAAACATGGGGGCACGTCCGTCAATGACCGTAACTGTTAAAAGGGACAATCAAACCAAGTTCCACTAACATCCACTTAGATTTTCTGCAGTACTTCCATAGCCTTGATGGATTTGTCTTGTTCGAAAGGTTATACAGCTTTCTGTTGGTGGTCTCTAGGATGTGGCCATGCAGTGTGTGGCTGGTCTCTTACAGTTTCTACTGTTGCTGGTGCACTGGCTGGTGCAGTTCTGTAGTTTATCGTGTTGGAATTTTAGAGAATCTTCTATAGATCTCCATAAAATAAAATTCTTACTTGCGGGGAGTCGTGATATAACGCCATAGCTGAGCCCCGTAGAACTAATCCACCTGCTCCCTCTTGGCCAATGATTTCGCAATCTGCTTGATTGTGACTGTGTCTCGCAGGAAGGACGCTGCCTAATTCGTGTTCAATATCTTTTATGAGATATTAACACTGGCTTTTTTTTTTATTTTGAACAGTGCATTTTGAGATAATTCATAAATGCTGAAATCATATCGCCCCTCCCACCATCCTTTGGTGAAATGCTGAACTTGAGCCAGACTACTAATGTGTACCTGTAGTAAGCTTTACGCCCGAATATTTTTAAGATGTTTAAGGATCAATCAATGCAAGCTTCTATGAGATACTCAAGACAATATGTATGCAGAACTATTCCGTGTTGCAATCGTTGTTCTGGTATGATCAATTTCGACTCTGTTTTCAGACATATAGAGGAAGCGATCACAAAGCTAGAAAAGAGACACGCAACCCACATCAAAGGCTACGATCCTAAAGGCGGTGCCGACAACTCCCGAAGATTAACGGGACTCCACGAAACAGCGCATATTAATGACTTCTCGGCAGGTGTCGCCAATAGAGGTGCTAGTATCAGGATACCCCGCCAGGTGGCAGCAGACAAACAGGGGTATCTGGAAGATCGGCGGCCATCGTCAAACTGTGATCCCTACCGGGTAACCGAACTCATGGTAAGGACCACGATTCTAGGTGAAGCAGACACTATTTGTGAATGGGGAAAAGGTGCTGAAGTTTCACAGAAAGCATAAATGGAGACTATAGTCACTGTGGAAATCTTTCTGGACAATAACACTGAGGACATTTGTTTGGACGATAATATCGAGGATATTTCACCTATCATAAAGAAATGTTCTTTATTTGTAGTCATGTAATATGATGAGTTTGTTATTACAAACACTTGTTTGAAATCAAAAACAAAACTGTCAAGGGAATACAGTAGGGGATATACATATTATTTATTGTATTTAGCTGACCTCTATTTTTTATAGATTTAACGTTTACAACAACTTTTACCTGCGATAATACAGGTAATTTATATAGCGATGTTATGATTAGTTCATGTATAAGTATATTGGCAACACGTGGCTGATATGTACGTCTACGTGATATACAGTCAAACCTGTCCGAGAGAAAACTTATTAAGGGGACACCTTGGTTAACCAAGGTATAGACTTCCCAGGTGTGATCTCCAAGTCTGGTTCTACAGTCTAACTAAACTGTATGCTGATGCACCTTATATACTAATATTAGTATATGCATGTATTGTCTTAAAACAAAGCATTAACTTATTTACATAATACAGAAGCTCGAAAAATGCAGTCCCCACTACTTTCGCCAATTCAGGAAGAGCAAGTTTGTAGAATGGACGTAAGCGCTCGGGGACTTTAATTTCCGAACCTTTGTTTATTTAATATTTCACACACAAACACAATTTTTACTTATTCATAAAACATCGTTTACATGTAATTGTATACACCATACGGAGCCAGAATCTCATTGTGTCTCTGTCATAATCTGTAGCATAACCATTTTAGTATATATTGCACTTCAAATAGCTATAGGAATGAAACAGACGAGGAAACACATACTGCATGTGTTATACAAACAATGCAATTTTTTTGCCATAAAGCAAACTATTTCATACAATGAAACGCCACGGTTGTTCTATATTATGTGTCAATCGGTGTCTTTTGGGAACAATATTTATTTGATACGCCCGTCTATAACCGGACATACTAAGGTATGACGCTGTCAGCCCGTCTATAACCGGACATATTAAGATACATTATGGTATGACGTTGTCAGCCCGTCTGTGACCGGACATATTATGGTATGACGTTGTCAGCCCGTCTGTGACCGGACATATTAAGGTATGACGCTGTCAGCCCGTCTATGACCAGACATTTAAGGTATGACGCTGTCAGCCCGTCTATGACCAGACATATAAGGTATGACGTTGTCAGGCTGGATGACGACAGTATTTTGTTCGTACCGTAACCCTCAATGTCACCTACGTAACATATTTTACTAGTGTATGCTGGCACAGGGACCTGATAATTTGGTACAGCTATATTTAGACCTAAATTATGTTGTTCAGAGTAATTGTACATGTTTTAGGGGTTTAGATCGACTTTTTGGTAAAATTGCCACCCTAATACTCGTATATATAAGCATTGAGAGTACACATTCTCAGGTGCCTGTGTTTCTTGGTACTATAGAAAGGAGCCCTCGACGTAACTGTATGGCCAGTAAAGTACAGTTGTGGTTAATTTAATTTTCCCGTGTATGATACAAATGTATTTTTGTTCTTGTTTACATTTTAATATTTGGATATATTTTGTTATAAGAATATATATCGGAGTTACACATGAGTAGAGATGAATGTGCAACTGTTGGGTGTCCTTCTTGTTTTTATTTTCGGAATACACTCTATGTTTCATTTAGCCTTTAGCTAAAATTGTATTTTACCCTCAATAAATAATACCTATTATTATGTTTGATCTTGTTTATTTTTATTTTTGAACATCTTGTGTATTTTCCAAAACGAATTATAGATTCTATGCCTTTGTACATTTTCAAATATTGTATTTTTCGTATATGCTTGGTCCCTTAGAACAGACACCTGACTAGGGAGAGTCAGTGGTATCCAACGTAACAATTATTACGTTATAATACTGATGACGTCAACAATCGGTGCACGGCATTCATAGCCTGTATAAATGCCATCTGAATGTGGTAGGGTAATAAAGTGACAACGACATTAGACGGTGTAATATCGTACAGGTATCATTTCGGGAAGCAACGTGAAAATCACTTATACAAAGTAAGGTGTACACAGTTTAGCCGTCGAGAGATCAATGACCTAACACTGTAACCCTTTAACTAGTCCTGCTGTATCGTAAACATGGGCTATTACTAACATACACCGGATCTGATATGGTTAGCGACGTTTTTGAAATTGGTGTAATATAGATTGAATTCATATTTATTTTTAACATATTTTATTTATAGAAAATGAAATCAAAGAAAATTTAATCTTTTAATCTTATCACAAAATTCTTCATAATAAAAAAATTGATACTCTTTTTGAATAGTTCATGTCGCGAAGTTGACGGAAGACAATATTTTCTTGGCATTCTTAACTTGTAACGAAGAAGTTTTTAACTGTACAACCATACGTTATAGCGGAAGCTGTCCGTGCACTTCTAACTAACAAATATGTCCTTCCAGCCAAGGAGAAAAGGTAAAGTCTCGCTTTATTGAGCTAACTCTTTATTAATGCAAGTAACGGCGTTTATTGTGAATCAATCATCACTATAAATCAGAAACGTATTTTATGTTCAAACCTAAGTTAGTAGGTATATATTTTTAGCATCTAATAGAATTTAAGGGTGTTATTTGACTAAATGGCCCCTTTAAAACTTCACGAAACATACGCCACACATAACCCTTTAAATATACAGGGGAGATAACTCTTGTAGGCTTGCTTCAATATGACGTCCGATGTCGTTAGGTTCTATTCTGTAAAATAATTGTAAAGGATCTCCGCGGCTATATTTTTTAAATGACCGAACTACACACCAATGGGTATCGTGAACAGAAAGAGTATTTATGAGCACTTTCAAATTCATTCTCTTGTGAAACTTCACGAATGTATACAGGTATGCGCTTTATGTACAGAGAAAATGTGTCGCCAAACACAGTCAAACTCGTACCTTAAATGTCAATGTCATGGCAATGTTTCAGAGGTCAAACCTTGGTAATGTTACTTCTGATCGCTTTCACGTTTTCTTAAGGAAACTCATAAAAGTGCAACACACACGAGGTCAAGGTCATGCAAGGGTCAACTATCAAATTTATTATAATATATGTTCAAACTTCTAAAATATCTCTGGCTTAAGGTTTTCACATAAAGTATGTTTTATGATATATCAGTACAAGATGAACTACCTTTTAACAGGCTCTGGGGTAGCAATAAAGGAATTTTGGAAAATATAAGTAGTGCGATGTCATCTTTCTATCATAACAAGATACAATGTAGTTGTTTCTGTGAAAGGGTATCAAAAATACAGAGTGAATAGATATCCTAAACCACGCAATGATAACAAAACATAAGTATATTGTTATATACAAATTCCATGCTTCACCGATTTAGTTGTCCCGGATGTAGTCAGAATAAAGATACCAGGAATGTTTGTTCTGTAAAAGAAAATGTGAAGTTTCGTTTCGAATACAATTTAGATAGCCCACAGTGATTGTGTTTTTGTATATATTTTCCTACAATGTCACCTTCACAGACGTTAGTCATACCTCAACCAGGAAGTCGATTGTATTACACATTTATATAAAACTTACCTCAAGTTCCAGGTAGGGGGTATTACAACACCATTACGTCAGCACTTGTAAAGTAGTGGGTTTTACTGTCAATGCTATATCAAGTGTTAAAATAAATTCTTTAAAAAAAACACTTAACGAAGAAATCCGTGCCTTTTTCTAAATCATAAATGTTTATCTTCTAGTATTGACGGGAAAACTTGGTACAGAAGAGTTCAGTATTTGTATTTCTCTTCTGGAGTAAGCGGTTTACACGTTTTGTTAAATTACTTCACTGTATAAGGAGATGGATCAAACGAGTTTAGTATTTGTACTTCTCTTCAGCAGGAAGAGTTGTTTTTTTTTAACTTTAGCAGAGGGTGGAATCAGAAATGTAGAATACCACTTACATTTACGTCATCTGCGCAAAACTTACGAAAGCTATGCCAACCTGACATGCGCTGGAGTAAACTTTAATTTAGTCTCACTGAAATGTCACAACGTCGACACAAACTTAAATTTGATGCAAGTATGCACACAAACTTACATTAAATGAACAGTACCCCTTTTCTGAAATGTCACACCATGAATGCAAATTTACGACTTAATGTAAATAGTGATTGTGTCTAATTTACATAACAACGTGTCTAATTGGATACTAATCACACGACGGGAAAATAAAACATTGAATCGCTCTCACGCGCTCCACTTCACCTCGTCACTTTTTTCGTACTTTTATTTAAGATGTTGGTTAGCTGTCTACGCACGAGTGTGTCTCTTTTAAGGAAGAGGTGGGCCAAAACTTAAGTCTCTTTAACAGGAGCTGGATCAGAAATTAAGATTACTTTTATTAAGTAAGTTACACACGAATGTACCTCTCTTTAGAAAGAGGTGGGTCAAAACGTACGTCTCTTTAGGAAGAGATTGGTCAGACATTATTTGTATACGTGTCTTTTACCAATTATCATTAATTGATTGTGTTAGGTGACCACATTGGACCCGTTACAGAAGTAGGAGGTTAAACGATGATATGCTGCAACTTCTCTATCGTTTCTTTCTAAGAAGAAAAAACGAAAAAAACGACGACTATCATTGTAACGAAGAAGTTTTTAACTGTACAACCATACGTTTTAGCGGAGGCTGTTCGTGTACTTCTAACTAACAATTATGTCCTTCCAGCCAAGGAGAAATGGTAAAGTCTCGCTTTATTGAGCTAACTCTTTTATAATGCAAGTAACGGCGTTTATTGTGAATCAATCATCACTATAAATCAGAAATGTATTTTATGTTCAAACCTAAGTTAGAAGGTATATATTTTTAGCATCTAATAGATTTTAAGGGTGTTATTTGACTAGATGGCCCCTTTAGAACTTCACGAAACATACGCCACACACAACCCTTTATTCAATAACATGAGAGTCTTGGTTTAATATACAGGGGAGATAACTCTTGTAGGCTTGCTTCAATATGACGTCCGATGTCGTTAGGGTCTATTCTGTCCATCCATGCGAAAAGGTTAAGGGGTCAAAATTTAAATAATTGTAAAGGATCTCCGCGGCTATATTTTTGAAATGACCGAACTACACATCAATGGGTATCGTGAACAGAAAGAGTATTTATGAGCACTTTCAAATTTATACCATTAACGTCAAGGTAAAGACATTCTCTTGTGAAACTTCACGAATGTATACAGGTATGCGCTTTATGAACAGAGAAAATGTGTCGCCAAACACAGTCAAACTCGTACCTTTAATGTTAATGTCATGGCCATGTTTCAGAGGTCAAACCTTGGTAATGCTACTTCTGATCCCTTTCACGTTTTCTTAAGGAAATTCATAAAAGTGCAACACACACGAGGTCAAGGTCATGCAAGGGTCAACTATCAAATATATTATAATATATGTTCAAACTTCTAAAATATGACTGGCTTAAGGTTTCCACATAAAGTGTGTTTTATGATATATCAGTACAAGATGATATGAGACTCTTAAGCTGTGAATAAACTACCTTTTAACAGGCTCTGGAGTAGCAATAATGGAATTTTGGAAAATATAAATAGTGCGATGTCATCTTTCTATCATAACAAGATACAATGTAGTTGTTTCTGTGAAAGGGTATCAAAAATCAGAGTGAATATATATCCTAAACCACGCAATGGTAACAAAACATAAGTTTATTGTTATATACAAATTCCATGCTTCACCGATTTAGTTGTCCCAGATGTAGTCAGAATAAAGATACCAGGAATGTTTGTTCTATAAAAGAAAATGTGAAGTTTCGTTTCGAATACAATTTAGATAGCCCACAGTGATTGTGTTTTGTATGTATTTTCCTACAATGTCACCTTCACAGACATTAGCCATACCTCAACCAGGAAGTCGATTGTATTACACATTTATATAAAACTTACCTCAAGTTCCAGGAAGGGGGTATTACAACACCATTACGTCAGCACTTGCAAAGTAGTGGGTTTTACTGTCAATGCTATATCAAGTGTTACAATAAATTCTTTAACAAAATCCTTAACGAATTTCGAGGATAGGTAATGCTGATAATAATACGGTCGTAATAATTATGTACTGTACCCAAAGTGTGCTTCTCACAGGAACACACATTCTGGAGAAAGAAATCCGTGCCTTTTTCTAAGTCATAAATGTTTATCTTCTAGTATTGACGGGAAAACTTGGTAGAGAAGAGTTCAGTATTTGTATTTCTCTTCTGGAGTAAGCGGTTTACACGTTTTGTGAAATTACCTCACTGTATAAGGAGATGGATCAAACGAGTTTAGTATTTGTACTTCTCTTCAGCAGGAAGAGGTTTAATTTAGCAGAGGGTGGAATAAGCAAAGTAGAATACCACTTACATTTACGTCATCTGCGCTAAACTTACGAAAGCTATGCCAACCTGACATGCGCTGGAATAAACTTTAATTTACTCTCACTGAAATGTCACAACGTCGAGTCTCGACACAAACTTAAATTTGATGCAAGTATGCACACAAACTTACAGTTAAGGAACAGTACCCCTGTTTTGAAATGTCACACCATGAATGCAAATTTACGACTTAATGTAATTAGTGATTGTGTCTAATTTACATAACATCGTGTCTAATTGGATGATACTAATCACACGATGGGAAAATAAAACATTGAATCGCTCTCACGCGCTCCACTTCACCTCGTCA